GGGAGGGAGGGAGAAGGGGATTGAGGGGTATTATGATTGGCACACATGATGTGGGATGGATCATGGGGAAGACAGCGTAGCACAGAGAAGACAAGTAGTGACTCTGCGGCATCTTACTACACTGATGGACAGTGACTTCAATGGGGTATGGGGGGGACTTGATAATATGGGTGAATGTAGTAACCACATTGTTTTTCATGTGAAACCTTCATAAGAGTGTATATCAATAATACCTTAAAAAAAGCAAAACAGCAATAGACTCATAGACCCTGAGAAGTGACTAGTGGTTACCAAGGGGGAAGGGTTGAGATGGGTGCGGGGGTGCATAAAAGGACACAATAATTTGCAGTCACAATATAAGTTGATCACAGGAACTGTTGAACCACCATGATGTACATTTGAAACCAACATAAGATTGTATATTAGCAATACTTTAATCCAAAAAAAAAGGAAAAAAAGTCAACGCTAACATTAACTGGAAAATGAACTCAAGCTGCCCCCAAAACCTTGTAACCATTAACAGGTGGCCATTTCTTTTCTTATTTTCTGAGTCTCAGGATCAGAGGGAACACAAAAAGCTGATTTTGTAGAACCCAAGACAGGCAGAACAATAAGAAAAACAAAAAGTAACTGAATCAGCCAAGAACGTCTGCTTGGGTCCTTGCAAGTTGCTCCTTTATGTGTCTGTGGTCATGAACACCACAGCCTCTCTCCCAGGATTTCCCCTTTGAAAGCCCTACTAACTGCTCATACTTTGGGGGGACCAGTGGTTCTTCAAGGCATGAGCCTGCCACAGCTGTATTTGCTGGCAAATTAATAAAGTATTCCTTTCCTTTCCTCAAAACCTTGTCATTGTGTTTTTTTACTTGACTTTGTTGAGAGGGACTGGTTTTTGGTAACAAATTTTGGCAAGTCAGGCAGGAGGGTCTCTGCACCCGGGCGGTGTGGTCTGCTCTCCCACCAACTTCCAGCGATGGAGCAGTGGGCCACGGCTGCCCTGAAGAGTGTGTGACCCTCCAGCAAGGAAGCCACCTCCTCAAGGAGGGACAGGGACAGTCCCAGCAGCTGCCTCTGCACTTGGCTCAAGGCAGATTCCCTTCCCTCTGAGATGTGACTATCGCTCCTTCAAGTCTTTGAGGAAAATAAATGGATTTTGGTTCAGCTGCAGTGCTGGGCCCAGTTTGGGAAGTCTCCTGGTAAGCATGCTGAGAACCTTGATTCCGCGCAGTTGGGGGGGTTCCAGAACCTCCCATTGGTTCTGAGAGAGTTGTGGCACCAGCTGGTGTGGAGGTCAGGGTTAACTGGGGGGAATTTTTGAATCCTTTGATTCTCCTTTTGCATTTGGGGAAATAGTTCCCATTTTATTTGTTGGCCTTGGGTTTTGGATTTGAATGTGGGGGTGAGTTTCCTTTTGTTACTTGCCTGTTTGTACTATTGTGAACCACCTTCCCCTCCAGGGAAATCTTCATCTGTCCTCATTGGGTGTAGCTATTTGTGTCATTTGTTAACGTGTTTGTCGTGGGAATGGGAGGCACCTTAACTATACCATCTGAGAGTCCTTCAGGGCACATTCTAGCTGCATGGTCAACTTAACAGCTGTAAGCCAATGACCGAAAATAAAATGATCTTTTATTGTAACACTGCTTGGCCAATGCATGTGTTTGAATGTGAAGAAAGGTGGCCTTTAAATGGAATTTTAAATTATACTACTTTGAAACTGGAGTTATTTTGCCAAAGGTCTGGTAAATAGGATGAAATTCCCTATGTGCAAAGTTTCATGCAGCTCCACAGTAAGGATTTTGGAAAAGCAGGCTCTAAACTGATGGCGCAAAGAAAACAGAAGGTCCAAGCGTGTGAGGCTAACATGCCTGAGGAGGAAGTTGATAAGGAAGTTACTAGTATGAGTCTAATGAACCCCTTAATTCTAATCCATTTGGGCCCCAGCTGCCAGTTCAATTGATCTACGCCTGCTCATATATCCTCCTTTGCCTGCAGAGGGGCTCCTTGTTGGTGGGGTGTTAGAAATGGCAGAAAACTAAATGTGATATATTCGCACAGGAATTAACGTTTAAACAAAAAGATATTAAGAAGAAGCCTACATGTCAGAATAGCACCAGGGAGTCACTCTGGCTGGGAAGGGGAGGGAGATTAAGAAAGAACGGGTTGTGTGTCACTTCAAACAAAAAAAAATGTAGACAAATGTAAAGAAAGCCTAATATGGATATAACTTGCTTAGGCAACATCTGGAGAGAATGTGAACCCTGTGGTAGTGAGCCAGTGAGGAACCTGGGGAGGGACTCGCAGGAAAGGAATAAATCGCCTGTTGTAAGTGCGCACCCTGAGTGCGCCTGCTCACCAGCAGCCTGACCCTGCAAGGCCGCCATTAAAGCCTCGGTCCTCCAGTCCTCCGTTCTGCTTGACTCCGTGTCCACTTATTAAGTTCAGACAAGTTGACTGTGTTTCTCACTTGGAGAGGAAGCAGTGGCTGTGGCTCCTGTGGACCTGTCCCACCAGGCTGTGACTCGGGTAAGGGTCAGTTCCTCCTAAGATCCAACAGGGCACCCCACTTGGCCAGGGAGCCCCCGTTTTGGGGGCAGGGCAATTTCCTTTGCAGCAATACCTGGTATGAGGAAGGATAACCAACAGGATGTTATTGGACTTATAGTCCATTCTCTATGTCAGATTTTGAAATTGGAAGAACACCAATCCGACCTACAGAGAGGACCCTATAGGTGATGGCTGAACTTTTTACCAGTTTTTGCTACTCATTGCCCCACCTGGGCAGACTTGCAGGCATTACTTAATATATAGTTAAGTGCAGATGAGCAGAGACTTGTTACCGATAAGGCGCAAGGAGGCAGCGCCTGCCTGAGGAGGACCCAAACCGGACTCCAAATCCTATGGGAGCCATCCCCGTCACAGAGCCTAACTGGGACCCTGACCGACATGGAGGCCGGGAGAGCGCTCCTGAGTCATTACAGGAGATGCGTTTTGGCGGCCTCTGGAAGGGGGTTCCCAGGCAGAGGAGTTTGAATAAAAGACAGGAAATTAAATAGCTTAATGAAGATCCCTCAGAATTTTTAGGATGAGTATATCAAACTTATAGGAAATATTCTGATGCAGATCCTGAAGCCCCTAAAAACTTACACATAGTCATTGTGACTTTTGTCCAACCAAGTGCACCTGATAGTCATAAGTAATGACAGCAAGTAGGTCGGGGCGGTTGGAATGAGTCTTTCTCAGTCAGTTGATGTTGCTTTTAGACCGCTGACCGTGCTGGACAGGGAAGGGAGGTGAGGCCAGTGCACATCCTGTTGGCTCCTCAACCTCTGAGTTTTCACAAGTCCCAACAGGGTCAAGAGAGAAAAGGACATCCTCCAGACAAAGAAAATGAGCCTGCTTATTGTCGGGAGGAAGGCCACTGGAGAAAGGAGACCAGGGAGATGAAACCTCCTCCCAACAGACAAGTGGAAACCAGAACCCAGACTCAGATGATGGCGAAGGGGCCCAGGGATCCATCTGACCTTGACAGTTCCCGATCCGATTTCCCACCAGGAACCCCAGGTACAACTGACAGTGAGGACTTGATCGATTTTTCTCATAGATACAGGAGGCACCTATTCTGTTTTAAATTCTAAATTAGCCTTTTCAGCAAAGACTCAGCAACCGTAGTAGGGGTGACAGGCAACCTCAAATGAGACCATTACCACAACCTCTAGAGTGCTGACCGGGAGAACAGAAGTTCAGGCACAGCTTTTGTGTATGCCTGGTTGTCCCATACCTCTCCTAGGTATGTAAGTTAAGTGCTCCAATAACTTCCTGGCCCGAAGAGCAACAGCTCTGTCTGTGGGTCCCTCCTGAACATGCTCTACCTTCCTGGCACAGTTCAGCAACAGTTTCTTCAGAGTATGATTCATCTTCTCTGTTTTTTTCCTGTTGACTGTGGCCTCCATGAGGCTCGCAGCTTCCGTTTTATTTATAAAGCAATACTTGCTGAGTTACTTCTCACACAAAGGACAGTCTGTTGTCACTCTGTAAGGATGATGGGAGTCTCTATCTAGAAATGATTTCCTTGAGGAGGGCTTGCAGCACCTCAGTGGCTTTCTCTGTTCTTGCAGGAGGGCTTCTACCCAGCCTGAAAAGTTGTCAACCAAAACTAGCAGATATCTGAGGTTCCACATAGTCTCAGGCATTTGGGTAAAATCAACTTGCCAGTGCGCCAAAGTCTCATCTGTAACAAGCACTGTCATGCAATTGTCACTTTATGGGCTGGGGCAGGGCTTCTGGCAGCAGTATTAGTCTGTGGGCGTTCAACTCCCATGTGGAATTTTCATCCCACTGACCGAAACCCCACTCTGGCCCTCTTCTCATCTTTTCTGTATGAGGAGGCTTGAATCTGTCCAGACCTCACTGAGGTAGCAGGGCTCCTAAAAAAGGAGTCCCCTTTAGCTGCTCTCTTCACAGCTTTAGCCACGGCCTAGTTTCCTCGGGCCACATTGCTCTCCAATTTCTGGTACCCTGGACAATGCATAACGGCCACCTGTTCAGGTCCAGCCACTGCCTGCAACAAGGCTAGTATTTCAGGTGTGTATTTTAAGTCCTTATTTCCTGCTGTTAACAGCCCTCTTTCTTACCAAATTGCTCCATGAGCACGCACAATCATGAATGCATACCTGGAGTCTGTATAAATGTTCACCTTCATCCCACAGGACAACTGGAGGGCTCTGGTCAGGGCGCTCAATTCTGCCTTTTGAGCTGAGGTTCCAGATGGCAGTGCCACTGCCTCTACCACCCACTTTGCTGTGACCACCGGGTATCCGGCCATTCGGTGTCCATTTTTCATGAAGCTCCTTCTATCAGGAAACAGGTCCCCATCTGGCTTGGGCAAGGGCTGGTCAGTGAGATCCATCTGGCTGGAAAACATAGCCTCTAAAATTTCCAAACAATTATGCTGTACTGGTTACTTTTCTTGGGCAGGCAATGCAGTGGCAGCGTTTAGGGTAGACACAGTCTTTAATTTCCCATTGGGGTTATCAGGAAGGAAGGCCTGCGGTGAGCCTGCAGCCTCCTTTTCGTTGTAACAAAGTCAGGACCTGATGTGGAGCATGGGCTACGCTAGGCTGATCCAACATGAGCTTTTCTGCCCCCTGCAGTAAGTCACAGGGGGCAGCTACTGCTCGTGGACAGGGAGGCGTCCCCCCACAGCACATTCCAGTTGTTTGGACAGATATCTTACCAGTTGTAGCACATCACCCAGCATTGGTATCAAACCTTCTAGACCAATTCCTTGTTTTTCATGCACATAGAGCTTAAAAGGTCCGGTAGGCCCAAAGCAGGGACCGTCATTTTTGTTTAAGAGTTTCAAATGCCTTTTGACATTCTTTCACCCAAATCACAGGCTCCACATCTGAGTCTTTTAAAGCTTCATACAGGGGTTTTGCAATAAGTCCAGAATTAGAGATCCAGATATGACAAAAAACAGCCCTTCCAAGGAATCCCCTCATCTGCTGCCTATTCCAGGGACTTTAAGATGTAGTATGACTTGTTCCTGGTTTGTCATAAGGCTTTGGGTCCCTTTACTCAATTGGAAATCCAAGTGAGTCACTTGCTATTTACAAATTTGAGCCTTGTCTGGTGACATCTTATATCCACATGTAGCCAAATGATTTAAAACCAGAATTACATTAGCCAAACTATGTTCAAAGTTCAGGCTTGCTATGTAAGCAGATCACCCACATATGGTAAAAGAATTCCCGAATCTAATTGTAAAATTATCAAGTCTTTCGCCAAGATTTCACTGAATAAAGTGGGAGGGCTCTTAAACCCCTGGGCAGTCCAGTCCACCAGTACTGAGCAGTAACTTTAGCCTCAGGATCTTGTCATTCAAAGGCAAACAACAGCTGGGCCTCCTCCTTCAAGGGAAGGCCAAAGAATGCATCCTTCAAGTCCAGCACTGAGAACCACCTGTAACGCCCCTTACAAAGACTGCTGTCAGGAGGGTATCCAGGTTTAGAACAGTGGGATGTATGTCTTATACAATATCACTAATTGTCCTCAAGTCCTGCACAAACCTATATTCGCTGGTATGAGGCTTCTCCACAGGAAGAATTGGGGGTATTGTAGGGAGACCAGTATGACTGAATCAGACTGTGTCTCAAAAATTTGGCCAAGAAAGGTTGAATTGCCTCTAGAGCCTCCTTCTTTAGAGAATATTGCTTCTTTTGGGGATGTTCAGCCCTTCTTTTAAAGGTATCCCTATGGGTGCCATGTTTAGAGCTTGCCCGGGATGCCGCCTGCCCAGTTCTATCCACTGTCTTGTAGATCTCTGGAGGGAAAGGATGTTCATTCTTCTGTCCTGTGGTGGGCAGACACTGTGGGCGTTGTGCGGTTACAGTGCTTGTTACAGATGAGATGCCCTGACAGACTTTGGCG